GCCTGATCACTGACAATGGCCAACAGGCGAGATAGTAAATAGACTTGCACTTTTAGCGCCCTTCTACTCTTCCACCCTTCCACCAACTCAAAGCCTTTTAACACTACATGTGACATTCAAACACTGGTGGCCACAGCTACCATACAAGGTGTCGCCTGGTACTCAGTTACAGTAAATTCATATGCACTCATACACCGATGGCGCAGGTATCGGGAGAATTTTGGGGGTCAGTATCTTACACAAGGACATGCAGACTGAAGGAGCTCTGGATCAAAGCTCCAATTTTCCGATTAGTGGACAAAATGCTCCACCTCCAGCGCTACAGACACCCCCCAGTCGATGTCAACAACGTGACACTGTGCCAGGAGAACAACATGATTCTCAACACCAACAAGACACAGACGCTGAATATGGACCATGACAGGAAGGGAGAGAGGCTGGACCTCATCACCATCCACGAGGCCGCTGTGGAAAGAGTCGGCAGTTTCAAACTCCTCAGTGTCCAAATAGAAAAATCTCACCTGGAACACGTGCCGTGTGGTGAAAAGGGCACTGCAATGCCTCTTTCACCTCAAGTGACTGAAAAACTTTGGCTTGGTGCCCAGGATCCTGCAGACCTTCTACAGAGGGACAAAAAGAGCATCCTGACTCGACGCATGACTGCATTATATCGGAACAGCAATGCCTTAAACCGCAAGGTGCTACAAAGGGTCTTTTGGACAGCCAAGAGCATCTGTGGATGAGAGCTTCCCTCCATCCAGAGTATCTACAACAAACGCTGTGTCAGAAAAACCCACAGGATTATCAGAAACCCCAGCCACCATAACCATGGACTGTTTCTGTTGCTTAGGACAGAGAGGAGAGAGCTGCAAGAGGAGGGTGTACGCTACCCCTCGCTGAACAAATGCTTCTGTGTGATAAAATTGAAATGTATTTTGAAAGTGAGATTATTCTTCTTGTTCCTCTTTGTTGGCCGTTTGCCATGTCCTGACTTGTACACGCACATAATCACGTTTTTACCTGAATGATACTTTGCTTTAACCCTGTTAAAACAAACGATTGATAAGTTGCAGAATTCAATTTTAGTTTCAACTCTCTAACATGTAGCCATACTGCCATCTTGTGGCGGAGTTAAGAAGAGTTACCGCAAGGAAGTCAACTTTATATATTTTGAATGAAGATATAATTAGGGATTATTAATGAACTTGTTACATGAATGCGTGCTCCTTTATTTTGTTTTTTATTATATATTGTCATTGAGTTAATCTAGAGTGTGTGTATTTGACGTAGGCTAGCTGATACCACGGCATAATAAGTGTATTTTGATTTAATGTTAATCTGTATGTTTAATTGGATGTTAAGAATCAATGTTGACCGTAGTGGGGAGAGTATGCGTCCCTCGCACGTAACATATCAAAAATAATTTCCTTTATTACACTTTTAACTCTTTGTGCTGACGAGCAAAGTTATTTTGAACTTTTAAATTTTGTCGATCCAGTTTTCTTTTATCTCCAGTGTTTTCAACATTTTTGCGCGTAATAATAACTTTGACAACAATATCGAACGGCCAGTGATGTTGTTATCACCATTATTATAAGCGAGTAACCAGAACGAAGTAGACCAGCACCTGCCGACCAACCTCTTCGTTCCAGATTCATCAGAACCGGCTGCTTGCCACAGTGGTCCTCCTGCCAAGCCCAAAGGCCTTCTGCAGCATGAACCAGCCCATTGGGCACCCACAGGACATCGCAAATTCAACCATTTAGACCCCAACATTTTTAATAATTATCGGCCTGTATCCAACTTACCATTTTTAAGCAAATTTTTAGAAAAATTTTTTTTTTTCCTATTTAATTTTTTTTTTAGATACAAATAACACTTTAGAGAAGTATCAGTCTGGTTTTAGGATGAACCACAGTACCGAGACAGCCCTTTTAAAGATTTTAAATGACATCAGGTGCAATTTAGATAACCATAAACTCACAGTCTTGGTTTTACTGGATCTAACCGCCGGCTTCGATACAGTAGACCATCACATTTTATTAAATAGACTGAGAAACCTGGTCGGCATCTCTGGTACTGTTTTTAACTGGTTTGTCTCTTACCTTACTGATCGAGACTTCTTTGTAAGTATGGATACATGTTCCTCAGGAACCCATGAGATAAAGTGTGGGGTCCCCCAGGGGTCAATTTTAGGTCCAACTCTTTTTAATATCTACATGCTTCCCCTGGGGGACGTCATCAGGAGGCAGCTTTCATAGTTATGCTGATGATACGTACATCGCCGTGTCTCCTGATGATGCAGGGCCAATTGACGCCCTTTTTAACTGCATTTTAGACATAAAGTCATGGATGGCAGCGAATTTCCTGCAGCTCAACCAGGAAAAAAAAGAGGTTTTAGTCATTGGTCCTGAAGGCCAGAGAGAGAAACTTTTACCAAAACTACAGGATTTTAAACCAACACAATCTGTGAAAAAATCTGGGTGTGATTTTTGACTCTGAGCTCTGTTTTATTCCACATATTAAAAACCTTAAGGTAGGTTTCTACCACCTTAGGAATATAGCCAGAGTCCGCACGTTTCTCTCTCAGGCCAGCACGGAGGTGCTGATGCATGCTTTTATCTCCTGTAGGTTAGATTATTGTAATGCCCTGCTTTCTGTTCTTCCCATAAAGAGTATCTCAAATCTACATTTATTACAGAATTCAGCTGCACGAGTGCTGACGAGGACCAGAGGGCGGGAGCTCATTACACCAGTTTTAAAATCGCTGCATTGGCTCCCCGTGTGCTTCAGGATCGATTTTAAGGTTCTTTTATTAGTTTTTAAATGTCTTAACGGTCTTGGGCCTTCTTATTTATCTGACCTGCTTTTACCATATCAACCCTCGCGGACCCTGAGGTCCTCCGGCACAGGCCTTTTTACCATACCACAAGTTAGAACTAAAACACACGGGGAGGTGGCATTTAGTTATTATGGCCCCTGATTGTGGAACAGCCTGCCGGAGAACATCAGGGCTGCAGAGACTGTTGATGTTTTCAAAAAGGCTCAAGACTCATCTTTTTAATCAGGCTTTTAACTGATCTCTTTATCTATTTTAAATTCCTTTTATCAGGCTTTTAACCAATTTATCTATTTGTTTTTTGCTTTTGTTTTTTAAAATGCTCTTACCCTTCCTCTTTTTACGTTCTTATCTCATTTAATCTTTATCTTTTGTTATTTTAGTTATAGGTTTTAGTTTTGATGCATTTTATGTCTCTGTTTTAGATCATTCTTACCTAGCTATTAACTTAATTTTATGAGCTAAATAGCTTTTTGTTTATTTGGTTCATTTTATACCTTTCATCCTATCCTACTGTTTTAGTCCCTCGGCTTTTAGCTCCAGTGTTTCCTCATGGGGGCCTACCACACTGAGAGTTGTTCCTGGTCTACCGATGGGGGTGCTGTCCCATGGACAGCTCTGACCTGGGTGGCTGAAGGGCACTGCACCTCGGTGTGGAGCCTCCTGTCTGTCCTGTCCTGTCCGAGGGCCCTCTCAGTGTGGACGGCACCCAGAGGTGGCTTTTTCCTTGCCTCGGGTCTCGGTGCTCGGCCATGTCTCTTTAGTAATAGCTAGTGTGTGTGTGTGTGTGTTTGTGTGTGTGTGTGTGTGTGTGTGTGTGTGTGTGATGATTATCTTATTTAAGACTTCCTTTCGATGAGTTTGTGGTCAGATTGATCAGAGTTGATCAGAACAGACTGATGGATAAGCAGAGCAGCTGCTGCAGAGGCTAGTGAAAATTAACTTCCTTCTGCTGCTGTTACTCGGGGTTAGACCAAGCGCTGGATGAGAATGTAGTCTGTTTTATCTAAAGCAGGTTGGAAAAATGATAAACACTAAAACTATATGAGTAAACAAGCGATTAAGTTGCACTTTCATTGCGCTTGATGCTCTGCTGTTCTGTCTGTGCTCAAAGTACAATTGCAGAGAGAAGGAGAAGTGGGGGGGGGTGGGGATATCTAAATGTGGCAGCGGATGCTGATGTTGCTGTTGGACATACATACACACGTACTGTTAAACATACATTTGACAGGTTAACACAAAGGCATTTCCTAAAGATATAATGATGTTTCTGTGTGTCTGCTTTATGATACAAAGTATAGTTTGGTGTAGTGTCACCAAATATAAACTTCACTCTTGTGATTGTTAATGTGCCTGATGTTTTAAAATTCAATAACAGACAAACTGTTGTAAATGAATTAAGTTCTAACATTAGTCTAAAATTTTTTTAAGTTATGATTTTAACAGTTTTGTCAACTCTCAACCGTGTTTCTAATTTCATTCTACAACAAACAGGCAATTGAAAATATTGAATGCATGTGTTCAGGGATGGATGAAGCAGGGGGCAGATGGAGAATAATAAGCAACAAATGCAAAATGTACTTAAATTTTCTTAACATCTGTTTAAGGTGGAGCTTTCAATTCTAATATATTGCTGGATTGTTTAAAAAAAAAAAAAAATATCATACTGTAACTGTAATATTTTGTTAGTAAAATATGAATCTGCAGTGTACCAGTAACATGTCAGGTAAATGTAGTAGTATAATGTTTTCCTCTGAAGTACAAGTAGAAGTTCACAGTAAGTAAGCAGTACACCTTGAGTTGCATATTATTTTGGGGTACAATGATTAAAAATATAACAGAATTATTCATATCTAAACATCATAATGATTCTATAGCTGTTTGGGTCCAGGTGTGTTGCTCAGGACCCAGAGAAGTGCAGTGTTGACTATGAAGCTGTTTAAATGAGTGTTTTCGAGAAAGCTGGAAGCAGCAATACCTCAGACCAAGTAATTATAGTTGCTGTTCTAAACAGGCAGGTTTCGAACGGGCACTGCACTAGTTTGATAAAGAGGGAGAATGGAACAAGAAGCAATCTCTGTGCAATCCAGCATATCTCCTTTGCAGTAGAAAACGTGGCATGAATGCTGCTCCCCACCCCTATGAAAAAAGGTTTATCTACCTTGGACTTGAGGGCCCAGTAGTCTTCTGTGTCGTATTCCACATGTCTGAAAGCAGTCAGATAGTCATAGCTGATGATCGCCGTCTGCACCCAAACAAAGCAGTGAACAGGTAAAGAACTGAGGAGTCAGCAGGTCCATTTTTTGTGTGTGTGTGTGTGTGTGGGGGGGGGGGGGGGCACCACTGTACAAACAATCAGACAATGAGCAAAAGCAAATTTAACTTTGGAGCATCTCTGTGGAATTATACTGACATTATCAGCTATCAAGTGAAATAGCTTTTGTGAATGGGATCACTTGGTGCCAAAAGGGCTGAGTGACAGGATGGATGATTAGTAAACTAAACAACGAAGCAAAAGCAGAAAACCTTTGACAGCAGTAACAGCATATTGTTCACTGAAATGTCCAGTCACCTCAGACGCTGTGCTAGACTTTTTTGTCACCAGTCATTTTGACCTACAGGGTAATAAAAATCCGGTCATAATCTATTTTTACCGGTCATTTTAATTTTCGTTTTTAAATGATAAAGATATTCAAAGACATTTAGTTTTCATTCATTAATTTTTAATGAATCCAACAAGCAAGTTATAAAGTGTGCATTAATAAGGACATGAACGAAAAGATGAACAGACATTCACACACCCGTGCCATTAGGCTTCGCCCTGGACACACCGGCCGGATTCTCTCATCTTTTCTGTGTCCGACTTCCTGTTTGGTACGATCCGCTCTATCCAGCTTGACAGAAGTGCTCGCGGCTCACGTGAAAAATAGACCAGACACCGAACTTAAGTGCTGCCTCTGCGGGCGCTCCGCTCTGCTCAGTGGCCTGTGTGGACAGTCACATAGGTTAACATGGGCGCCGATTGAAAACTGCCTCTGCTGCTGGGCGCTGCACTTCGGTTCTGCGTTCTGGTGTGTCCAGGGCGTTATGTCAACAACGCTACATGCAGCAGATGAATGACTTTTTCTCTGCAGTGTGAAAACGGCAGCCACTTAAACCACTGACTGTGCACTCTGCCGCCAAGTGGGCAGGGGTGGTAATTGCAACCGGTCAAAATGACCGACGGCCTTCAGGTTTTCTGGTCATTGTTGTAAAAAAACGGTCAATGACCGAGAATATCCGGTTAACACGACCCCTGAGTCACCTATCTAGTGATATTTACTTAGAATGATGAGTGGAGCACCCAATATGATAAAAGAAGGAACTGAGTTCTGAGACAGCAAAACAAAAAACTCTGACTAAAATGTGACATTCTTCTGTATGGCAGCTACAGTGGAAACCTCTCACTATATTTATTACATGGATATAAAGTAATAGAACAGACAGCTTTGCCAATCACTAATTGACTGATTCTGACTGGCTGATGAGATCTCCATCACATTTTGCCTGTTTCTGATTGGTGCATTTTCCATCCATCTTCCTCTCTGTCTCTGCCTCACTCTCTGTCCATTATACTTCAACACGGCGTCAGGCAGTCTCGGTGGAGGATGTGCTGTTGGCTGTCGGCGAACAGGTACGCTGTCAAAACATGAGTTATGCTTCACGGATGAATAAAGCAGTGGTTGTTTTTCTGAAGGAGGAAAGTTTGGTGAACGAGCTAATGGTCAGCGGTAAGGTGATGAAGGGGAAACTGCTGGCTGCGTCCCGGCTCGCAGCGCCTGCTACACGGGTTATTGTGTCTAATGTTACTCCGTTCATTAAGAACGAGGCTTTACTGAAGGAGCTCTCTCATTTTGGGAAGTTTGCCAGCAGTTTTAAGCTGATCCCTTTCAAGTGTAGGAATCCAGATCTGAAACATGTTTTATCTTTGAGGAGACAAGTGTTGATATATCTGAAATCACCTGAGCAGACACTTAATGTCAGGTGACAGCGCTTACGCTGTGTACGCAACATCAGAGAGTTTGCAGTGTTTTGAATGTGGGGAGATCTGACATAAGCAGACAGCCTGTCCAAGAAGGGAGAAGGAGGTTAGGGTGACTGAGGACAATAATGCTGCAGGTCCATCTTCTGGTGGAGAGCAGGAGGGTCAAGGGGCTGCAGGGGAAGAAAGGGAGGTGAAAGAGCAGCCCAGAGTGGAGGATAACCTGCGGGAGGACGATCAAGTAGAGCAGGTGGAGGCTCAGGAGGAGGAGGGGTGGACTGAGGTGGAAAGGAGAGGGAGAAAGAAAAGGAGTACAGAGGTGCTTCCCTCACTAGGAAGACGGCAAGCTGGTGGTCAGCAGGAGGCCAGTGGTCTGGCTGAGGAGTCTGATGGAGAGTGGGATGAGATAAAAATGTCTCAGGGGGAGGGAGGAGAGGCTGAGGTGTCACTCAGTCAGACAGGTGAAGGTGAGGAGGAGGTTTACTTATTTGAAGAAACTGATGGATTTTTGATGAAAACCAAGAACATGAAAATCATTTATTTGGCTGGTTATTTTCCGGATTCTCAGAAGTTTCTGAGATCTATGAAACACGTGCTTGGTGGAAGGAGGCTGTTTCCTGGTACAAGAGTGACTCAAAGGAAAAGGTTTAGGCTGAAGAAATGGGCTACAACTGTCAAAAAGAATCTTAGTTTAATGGAATCATGATGAGTGTGTGCAGGTGTCACGGTGGCCTGTCAGGCTTCTGGTTTTCAATCTGTCTCTGTTTTTCCTCTCCTCTTCCCTCATGGACAATTTAAAAGTTGGGTCACTTAATATTAATGGCACCAGAGACCAGGGGAAAAGGGGAGTGTTGATGGATTATGTTAAAGAAAAGAATGTTAATGTTATTTACTTGCAAGAAACCCACAGTGATGTCATGAATGAGGTTGACTGGGGGGACTGTTGGAGGGGAACCCACTGTCTAAGTCATGGCACCAGTGGAAGTGCAGGGGTTGCAGTTTTGTTTGCACCAGAACTTTCACTCAGTGTCACTTCACAGAAAGAGGAATGTAAGGGCAGATTGTTGGTAGTGAGGACGATAATTCGGGGGTTGGTGTTTGTTAATGTATGCACACAATACAGGCAGGGAAAGGACAGCACTGTTTAAAGCACTGACAAAGGATTTATCTCAAGCTGAGCAGGATGACATCTTAGACCTGGGGGGGACTTCAATTGTACTATTTAGCCTAACGTAGACAGGAGGGGTGAGGAGCCACGTGCGTTCAACAGGAGTTTTGGGGGAGATTGACAGATTATGATTTGGTCGACACATGGAGAGTCAAACATCCAGACAAGTGGGGCTTTAGGGTCAGTGCATATATAGCAACAGACTGGTCAGGGCACAGTTGTCCCCTGCAGCATTTTCAGACCATCATTTGAACATTTCCTCGGGATGTAGACAGTCTGCATATTGGAAGTTTAATGTAAGGCTTTTGCAAGATGCCCACTTTTGCTCAAGCTTCAGGGAATTTTGGGTGGAGTGGAGGGAGAAGAAGGAAGAATTTGATTCTCTGAGGTTATGGTGGGATGTTGGGAAGTGCCAAATTAAACATTTTTGTCAACTGTACTCAGCTTCTGCTGCAGAGGAGGCAAGGAGAGCAATTAAATGCATGGAGGCTAGCATACAAAGAGTTGAGAAGCAACTCATGGAGCATAACACCACAGAACAGATACAAAACCTGGCTGAAATAAGGAGGGGTTTGGCCTCCCTTCTCCAGGATAGAACAAGGGGGCTCTTGTAAGGGCTAGATTTTCATTGATGATGAAAGGGATGCACCCACCGCATTTTTCTTTGGGCTGTAGAAGCAACGAGGGGAGAACAAACACGTACACTGTTTGCTGTGTTACTATCGTGGTTTCTGTCGAAACTTTTCAGATGTGGTGGCTCCTTCACGGGTCTCGTTAGTCCATTAAAAAGCTTTGTTTGGTCCCCCGCTTGCCAGGCTGCCTTTGAATCCGGCAAAGCGTTATTATGTAGCATGCCCGCTCCAGCTGCGCCCAGCTTTACGTGCCCCTTTAAGTTAGAAGTAGATGCCAGCGCATGTGGCGCAGGTGCCGTGCTTCTGCAGGAAGACGATCAGGCTATTGACCACCCTGTCTGTTACTTTTCAAAAAAGTTCAACAGGCAGCAACTTAACTATAGTACCATCGAGAAGGAAGCTCTCGCCCTTTTGCTTGCCTTACAGCATTTTGAGGTGTATCTCGGATCCAGTTCACAGCCCATCCAAGTTTTCACCGACCATAATCCATTAGTATTTCTTGCCCATATGCGTAACTCTAACCGGCGGCTTATGCGCTGGTCTCTTCTTCTGCAGGATTTCAATGTGCAGATTTTTCATTAAAAAAAAGGAACAGAAAATGTAATAGCTGATGCTCTCTCCAGAAGTTCTATTGATGCATAGGAATTAAACATTATAGGGGGATGTTTAATTCTTGGGCATGGGGGTGTTACGACTGTTGTCATAATTTATGTAAGTTTGTGTTTCCGTGCATGTTTTCTCTCTGCGTGTTCTGTTCTGTGCTTTGTGTATGCAAATAGGTGTGTGCCACAGCCCGGCGGTGATTGGAGGATTGTTTAGGTCCTGGTTTGTGATTGGTTGCAGCCGAGGGCGTTCAGGATTTAAAGGGCCAAGATGGCGGTTGCCTGTGGGCTAGCAGGCATTCCTCACCTTCCTCCTCTCCCAACCGGCCACACATTGTATTATTGTAGTGAACCATTACTGTGTTATCAACTGTTGAATAGTAGGGGTGGACTGCCAGTTTTGTTGCTAACACTTTTCTCCTGTTTATCTAGTTAGGGAGGTAAGCATTTTGTCATTTGTTTCTTATTTTGATTAGGTTATTTACTTACGTCCTGGACAGGATTGTTTTGTTTGTTATTTTGGCCTTAGTCCACCCTGACGTTATTATTTCACTCAATTCTGTTATTTAAATATTGTAATAAATTCACACTATTGATCGTTCCACACATCTTTGTCATTGTGGCTACTTGGGACTTGGGGAAGATGGGGCCTTTCATGTTGTGTCTCAGACACCCCTATCTGGGCATAAGAGTCTCCCTGATGGGCAGGTTACATCTGAACTGAGTAAAATGAGGGAGGTGGCTGTGAGCTTCTACAAGAGACTGTATGCTGCAGAGGAGTGTGATCCAGTCTGTACTCAAGTACTGCTGGAGAACCTGCCA